GTTGGTGGTTTCGCCCCAGAAAAGCTGCATCAGCAATGATGTCATTTTTTTTTCACTATACTGGAATGTTTTTGTATCCAATAAAAAATACTTTTGCATAGAACCTGCTTGTGCTCTCTTGGTGTTAATTGATGAGGAGGCTGCGCCTTGGTCTTGGCTCTTGATGCCAGAGAAGCTGGATACACAGAGGAGAACCTCTCTTGGTGCCCCAGGGCAGCACAAAATGGGGCTGACAGCAGACTTAGAGGGAGGGGAGGGATCTGAGAGCAGGGTGCTGCTCAGGGTGGGGGTGGGCAGGAAGGTCCCAAGCAGGGAAGAGCAGTGCCACTCACCAGTCCTAGAGCAGAGGCACCTCTCCCTGGGAGCAGCCAGGCTGCCTTTGCTCCCTCCTCATGCGACTGGCTGCATCTACACCAGCCCCTCAGTCCCCTGCCCAGTGCCACTGAATGGGAAAATAACCACACTGGATGGCCTGGCTGGGTGTAGGGTGCCCTATTGTAACCCCACTTTTCCCCTCATGCAGTTTAGAGGGGCTGCTGGAGGCCCCTCAGCAATGCCAGCAGCAGGGAGGGTGAAGCCCATCACTAAACGCTGTGTAACCACCACAAGCACGCGTGCCCAGGCAGGCAGCAGGTACCCAGGCTGGCACAGCTGTGTGCCAACACAGCTCCACGCTCAGACAGCCCTTCCCTGTGGCAGCTGCAAGGAGGCTCCACTCTGCTCCACATGGCTCCAGCAGCAGGTCCCAGCCCTGGCACCACGTCCCTTAGAGCCCAGCAGCACATGCTCAGGCAGCAGCAAGACACCTCGTAGGGCACCACAGGTTCCTCCACACAGAGAGAGCCTGGAAGGAGCCAGAAACGAGAGCCTGTCCACCAGGAACCAAGCAGAAGAAGCCAGCAGATGGCAACACCACCTCACAGCGTGTTCACAGGAGTGTTCAGATCTCTAACAGGTCCATCTCTTGCTGCCTGGGGAAACCAGCAGCACCAGCCCAAACCATGCTAGAAGCAATGAGGTCTCAGATGTCCTGAGCTCCTCCAGCAATAGAACCCAGCTCCCACAGCCCCAGGGGAGCAAAGCCCATTTGAGGCCACAGGAACCCACACCCCACAGGCAGTAGCTCAGACATCAGGAACTCAGTCATTGAGTTGTTCCAGACCTGTCCTGCTTCCAGGATTTTAAAGAAGTCCAGTGTGAATGAAAGGCACCCTGACCTGAGGTGAAGGATGAAGCCCACAGGAGCCAAGGCTGTTCACACAGACAAGTTCATTCACAGGTACCCAGCAGAGCACTGAGAGCACCAACACTGCCAAGGGCTGCCCCAGCCCAGGGATGTCTCACTAGTGACTGGAGCTGAGCTCCAGCAGCAGCCGTGGGAGGCAGCAGGTTCAGCCACCAGCACACCACCCTCTTCAAGTTCTCCCAGGGATGCTGGTCCCACAGCACGTGTTGGTAGCAGAGTGCTCCACTTCCCACGTTGGCTCCAGGTCTCACCCATGGGTGCCAGGAACACGGAGGTCTGTGTAGCAGCAGCAGAGCAACATCTTCCCTGTGCTCCAGGGCCTGAGCCACTCGGTTCACTGATACTCACAGGGCATTGCCAGGCCTGCCCAGCTGCCTCCTCTGCACACCTGCCCCCCTTCCCACCTTACACTGTAGGACGGCTCTCTGGAAGCACCAGGAGATCAATAATTCCTAGTTTGCCTCCAGCTGCACAGCACACCACAAGCTGCTCAGCAAACCCACAGCATGGCCCTGAGGAGCTGCTGGCCCTCGGGGGGCAGCTGCCACAGCCAGGACCCCCCAGGGGTCTGAGAGCAAGCACCGTGTCCCTCCCTGCCCAGGGAAGGGCAGACACATCCCTGTGGAAGAGCCGGGTGCTGTACCCACCACAAGCAGCACAACTGTCACATTCCAGTCCACTCCCCCTCTGGTCTGAGCTGATTAAGAAACATGAACATGGTTGATTAGGATAGGTTTATAAAAATTTGTTTTTTAATCACACACAACTGAAGTTTGTGATGAAGACCAGGTTGACAGTCCCTTGAACACCAGCACGTGTAAGACACTGCGTTAGGCACTAGGCAGCAGCCCACATCAGTTAGTCTGGAAACAGGAGTGGCTTTAACACCTCCCTTCACACTCGTGGAGTTACAGGCTGTGCACCACACCCCCTCACCCGAGGCCTCCCCACCCCACCGCCGAACAGCGGGACACCGTGGGTATTCACACCAGAGCAGGGTTAACAACATCAGTGGCATCACAACCATCAAAAAAAAGGACAATTTTCTATACAAGATTTTTTGCAAAAGTTGCAACAGGATTAGTGCATTACGACAGAACCGGAGAGAGAGATAAAAAAAGAGCTGGCATGCTAGAGTCCAACACAAATAAAGACAACAGGCAGCTCGTTGTATGTACTATATTGACAAGATACTGATTGGTTACATGAAGAAACGTACAATACAAAATACAGAAGAAACCAGTTTTGCTTCCCTCTGCCCCACCCCAGAATACTCATAATTGATTTGGTCAATAAGTGGCTGAAGAGCCAGAGTTTGTGACTAATGCTACAGTTTAGTGGTTCTGGGCATACCGTACAGGGTCAGCCTCAGCTGTTACCCACGGGTTGTTTTAACCAGGTTGACTACACCTCGATATCCCTTTGCTTCCAGGAGTGAACTACAGCCCAGTGGGACCTGGGTGCCGCCTGCTCGCCCAGGGCAGGGGGAGCCGCCCGGGCAGACGCCAGGTCACGCATCCACCACCACCAGGAGAGGGAAGAGCAGAAGTTCATATATTAAAAAAGTGACTTAAGACTTAGAATTGAATTAGTATTTGTACAGAAAGGTGCAGGTGGAAGAACTCCCTCCAGCCTATGATCAGAAGGGGATGGAGCAATCTCAGCGGGCGCGGGCGGCGGCCGCTCTAGGGTAAGTGCGGTTGTTAGCGTGGGTTCCAGTCACGGCCCCGAGGCTCGGGCTCCTCAGTTGCTGCAGCACTGGCTCCTGCTCGGCTGACTGCTCTCCTGAAGGTCCACCACCCGATTCCTGCCCGGGCCACCCGGAGCGTTCTGGGGTTCGTTTTTTGGCAGTTTCTTGGCTAGAAAGGAAGGAGACGTTGCTCAGCGGCTCTGCAGAGGCCACGCTGCTCCCCCGGGCAGAGCGCAGGCCAGGCTCAGCCCAGCCCTGGCCCAACCCTCCCCTCCTCAGGAGTCTGGGACAGGACACAGCCAGCAGCAGCCAGCACACCCACTCCCAGGGAAGGCCTCATCAACCCCTCACCTCCCCAGATAAAGGGAGAGCAAACAGACTTTGCAAGGCAAAGGTTCCAAGCACTCCAGGAACGACTGTTTATGGACATATAAACCTGGTCACCCGCTCCAGTAAGAGCCCCCAGACCCTGGCTGGCACAGGAACTCCCATGGTTTCCAGCAGGCAGCACCACTGGTGCTCAGAGCTGCTCATCCATTACCTATTGCCATGAAGATTTCGTTCACATTCATCGCTGTCTTTGCCGACGTCTCCATGAACAGCAAGCTGTTGTCCTCTGCATACTTCTGTGCATCCTGCAAACAATCACACTGGAGTGGTGAAGTCATCCTGCCAAGAGGCCCAAGCCAGCTTCACACGCTCCACTTGCTGACAAAGCAAACACTGAAGAAACTGTCCCAGCCCAGACATCCCCCAGCCCCTGCCAGGCCAGCGTGGGGACAGACTGACAGCACAGCACGGCCGCTGTCCCGCAGCAGCACGGACTGTTTGGGAGCCAAGGGCAGGCACAGCACGTCCCCAGCAGCACAACTCCCTGTACTTTGGTTAGCTGCTGAGAGACACATGCTGACAACACACCAGAGCAACCCTGGGCATAGGTCTGAGGTAAGAGCTTCTCCCTGAAGTGTGCCTTAGACAAAGCAAGGGCAGAGAGCAGAGTGAATATTCACAGGTCTTGTATCTTAAAGACACTTTTTCATCCTCTGCTGCAGACAGCTGCAGGTGAGTAAGGCACCAAAAGAGACCAAAGACAACAGCTGGTGCACTGGAGGCCTTATTCTCCACTGTCCATAACTGTTGCCACCAAGAGCTACAAGTGCCAGGAAAGGAGCACAGGGGAAGGCTACAGCTCCCTCTGAGTGGCAACCAGGGTCCTCAGCAGCATAAATCCTGACTTCACTCTCCCTCAAAGCATTCTGCACACAGGCACCATCTCCCCCAGTTCAGTAAAAGCTGCTTTCCTGACAGACTCAGGGAAGAGCTGATCCAGTTCCCACTCACCTGGAAGTCCACAGCTCTCTTGGTAGCAAGGTCTGCCTTGTTTCCTGCTAGTGCAATTACAATATTTGGGCTAGCCTGCCTCTGCAACTCTTTCACCCAGTTCTTGGCTCGTACAAACGTGTCCTGGAAGCAAACAGGAGGCAGCAGTCAGGAAGGGCAGCCTCCCACTGCCCTGCAGTGAAGATATGATTAGCAGGAGTCTTTCCTGTAAGGAGCGTTCTGCCTCTACAGCACTTTGCAGCAGGATCCTCCACCCGCTCCCACGGCCCCGGCCAGAGCAGAGGGAGAGGCCGCTGTGGCGTGTGAGAACCCAGCACCCACGGGGGCCTCTGAGCTGGGGCACCCCCGTGGCAGGGGGCAGCAGGGGCCGTGGGCACGGGCAGCCCCAGCACTCACTGTGTTGGTGATGTCGTAGACGACGATGGCCGCCTGTGCCCCGCGGTAGTACATGGGAGCCAGGCTGTGGTACCGCTCCTGCCCCGCCGTGTCCCAGATCTCGAACTTCACCGTCGTGTCATCCAGGCACACCGTCTGCGTGAGGAAGGCGGCTGGAAGGGAAGGGAAGGGGTGAGGGGAAGGGAAGGGGGTGAGGGGAAGGGA